TTATGAATTACTTTGAAGATGATTTAGTGAACCATTTTATGAATCATTTTTGAAGTGGCTTACTGGTGGGGACACAGCATCCTCAGAGAAAGGATATTATCTAGGCATTTATTTCCTGAGCAATGCTCCTTGTGCACGTCCTGACAAATGGAACATCGGCCTAGGGAGCACAGGGATCCTGCAGAAGGACTTGCAACCACAATCCGCCGTGTATTCACTGTGGTACTCTGGGAAAGCGATGAGGCTTGCTAGGTTCCATCCTTATAAAATGGGCAGATCCATCAATCCTGTAAGGTCTTATGGATAATAGATGAAAACATGAATGTAGAATGTTGGACTCAGAGCTTGGTCTGAAGTTATTATGAAGCAAACGATGGTTGTTGTTATTACGGAGACAAATCCAGGACTGTCTATAAATAGGCAATAGTATACCAGGTCCCTTGGACTTGGGCTTCAGGAAAAGATCATTTTTCTTTCCAAAACCACATGCTTCATGAGTGTGTGTCTGATAAGTTTCAAGAGTGAGGAATCCCCTAGAACCTCTGAGGCCCCTAGAACCTCCTATCCACTTGCCAGCACGGCTCCCCACTGAGGCGAGGCCTTGAGTGCAAGAAAGTGTCCGAACTAGGGTCAAAAGTCAAAGCTATGTTCGTGACACAGGGGACTTATTTCCATAATTCTAGGTTAGAGAGCCCTTAATGCAAGGTAAGGTTGGTCTCTGGGCCTCTGGGTCTCATCTTCCTCATCTATAAAGTTAAGTAGCCCAGATTAGTGGCTCTCAAATAAACCCACTTGGAAATATGCTTTCCCGTGGGGAAGTCCAGTCCACGACCTCTTCCTCTGGTGAATTCCCGACCACTCCATATTGGAGCCCCTGGGATGAAATGCTCCTTGCTGGGGGTGGTCCTGCAGAGTAAACACTGCTAGGCCCTGTCTGGTTGCTCTCACCAGCCAGGCTCCTGGGCTACCTTAGGAACTTTCCATTCATTTCAGGGAGAACAAAGGGCTAGAAGCTGCTGGATATGGTGACTCTGAGTTGCTCACTCACTTCTCTGAATGTAGCTAGAATATTATAAACGGCATGGAGCAGAGAGAGGATGTGCTTTCCATTTCCATCAACCAATCTCCTTGATATTTTATTTTTGATGACAATATTAAGAATGAAGTGACAAAACAACTTAGAGACACTTTGTATTGCAATATATGTGTATGCATGTATAAACTGTCTCAATAACTTCTGTCAAGAAAAGTATTCTCTCTATAGCAATTTAATAAAATACAACTTCATATTGTATTTTTGTTTTAAAATTAAATATAGATACACACATATAGATTCTTTAAAATAACAGTGTTAGATTGCCAATACCTTTTCTCAAAAATGAGGGTTTTGCTTTCAAGATTACACTTAACCACTTAACTGGTTAAGATTACACTTAATCACTTAACTTATACTTTTGATGGGGGAAGGTATCAAAATTCTCATCCCTTTCTGAAATGATTATGCTATTTGATAGAAAATGTTTTTATTTTTTATTATTTTTTACTGTATTACTTGGAAAAATAATAAGCTAACAACCTATAATCATTCCTCTTTTTAAGAAAATTTTCTTGGCTCAGGAAATACAGTAAAAGCCTGAAAATAAATTTAGAAGGAATTTATGCAGTATGTCCTCAAATGAAAACATGGGAGCAGAATTCAAAATGATTCAATAAAATACATAGTTGCGATGGCTATTTTTATGGTCAACTTGCTCAGGTCTTGAGGCCCAGTTATTGGTGTCTAACATTCTGGTATTTTTGTGTGAGTGCTTCTGGAGGAGATTAACATTGAAATTATTGAGAAGAGTGCCCTCCCTGAAGGGGTGGACCTCAAATAATTGGTTAAGGGCTTACCTGAAAAGAACAAAAAGGTTGACCCTCCTCTGAGTGAGAGAGAATTCTTCCTGCCTGGCTGCCTTCAAACTCAGATATTGGTTATTTTCCTGGCTTTGGATTTAAACTTCACCATCAGCTCACACTGTATCTCAAACTATCTGGTCCTCAGACTAGCCTGCACTGTCACTCTATTGGTTCTCAGGCCTGTGGACTCGGATTGTAACTAAATCTTCAGCTCTCCTGGGTCTCAGTTTTCTTGAATAACCCTGCAGATTTGGGATTTGTGAGCCTCCCTGATCACATGAGCTGATTTCTTACAACAAATCTTTTCATGTATTTTTTCTCCCTGTTTTTCTAGAAAACCCTGACAAGTAAAATAGTATTACAAAGGAAAGCGGTACTATGATAGAGTAATTAAATTAAGGTGCTTTTTCAGTGACACATGAAAGAACAAGATCTAGCACCAGATCTTATGCTGTGCAGTTTTGTGGTTGTGATGGGCATAAATGTTACTCTAAGATTTGTACAACAGAAGTGATGTGATATAAAATACCTGTGTTTTCTACCAGGGCAGAGTCAAGGCCTTACTGCTACTACTGTGCTTTGTAGCCTGTAGTCCTATGGAAAGGAAAGCTAGGTTTAATTAGAAGTCAGTGGAGAATTTTGTCTTCTTTTTAATTCTCCTTTCCCCAAATTCTGTCCATGGAACTCTTCAGGGATCCATCCATCCCAGTTTAAGAACTTTGCTAGTCAAACTTATGCTAGTATTTCTAAACATCCCCAGTGCCTTCTGCCTGTTTATTTTCTTTTCTTCATCTGGAATGACCTCCAAGCCTTGTTGCTAAAGAGCTACATTCTAACCATCCCATTAAGGGAGAGCTCAGATGTCATCACTGCCAAGAAGTTTCCCTTGAATTTTCAGGGTATGATCATCTCTCTGCCATCCGAAGATGGCAGTCATGAATCTCTCGTTTTTGATAGTTCTTGCCAGGTTTCTATGGGATAGTGGTGAAGTATGTGTTAATACACACACTGTTTTTGCTTTATCTTCCCTGGTGGAGTCTAAGCTGATGGAAGACTAAGTCCTTGCTTGAGTTTTACTTCTCTCAACATACTTCTGAGCATAGGACCCTTCAAAGAGAATGTAACCTACAAGTACAGGTCACAGGAGGGGATCAGCACCCCTGGGTCCTGGTCTTCCACACACTGCAGAGCCCTGTAACAGGCATCTTCTTTTTCATTTACAAGTGTTGGCTCTGACTTCCAAATTCAGTATGTTTAGAATCAATCAGGCTTCATTTCCCTTAATAGAGGGCTTAGAAAATGTCACCAAGGTCCCTAAATAGCTTCTCTCAAATACAAAGAGCCACTGTTGCCTGAATCTATTTCCTGGGGACCTTCTGCCTCCTTCACTTAACACACTCTGTTCCCTCCAAGTAGATTGGCTCCTTCCCATTCCATCTCTACATGTCAAACACAAATGTTTGAAGGTCAATTTCAAATGTCACTGCCCAAAGAAGCCTTTTCTGCTCTCCCTCCCCCAACTGCATATGATCTGTAAATCCACACAGCAAGAGAGCATCACTTCTTAATACCATGATCTTCTGCACTGTGCACTTATCTGTATATTTCTTTCTTCCCTTTCCATTAGACAGACAGCTGCATGAGAGCAGAAATGAATGCCTTTCTCTCTTCTCTGTAGACCAACACAGCTAACACAGACAGGGTGAGTTGAATGAAACTGAACACTTCTCCCTAGTTCCTCTGATTCAAACAAAACACACAAAATTACTGGCTCTTAAATTTGAGCAGAAAACCTAAAGCATCAAATGTTACCTCCACCCTCCCTTGGACACAGAACAAGCCCAAAATCACCATGCCTGCATTGGTTTTCTTTGGTTAAAACCATGACAAGACCTGAGATATGACTGGAAAGGGAAAAAAAGAATTAAATTTTCAAATCTGAAAAACATAAGAAATATTGGCAAGGGTTGTGTGAGGTTGGTGAGGAAGACATGTACATTCATGTTTTATTTTTTTTTTAAGTAAGCGTCTTCTTTCTGGAAGATAACCTAACATGCAGTCACAACCTGCAGGGCACACAGCCGCGGCCCTGGCTTCCTGCTTGTACAGCTAGATTTCCACCAACTGCATTTGGCATTTGCAGTTCTTTGTGGTCTTATTCCAAACTGCTATTCAATCTTATTCTTCTTCCCCTTCAGCTCACCAACTTTAGGTCAGAGCAGCACAGGCCAATATTTGCTATGCCCTACACTATGCCAGACACCAGCAAGACATGGGAGATACCAGGATGGAGAATCCTTGGGATCTTCCTGTGAGAGTAACAACATGAAGTGGTTCTTGTATGAACTGGGCAGGAAGAGAAGGCAGGTGCAGTGAGAAGTGAATCACACAGCAAAAAATGGTGATGGCGAAGCAGATCTCAGGCTAGCTTGATGTAATAGGTCCCAAGGATGCCAAGCAAAGTGCATTTTTAAAATAAATTTATATCTATTCTCTAGTTATTATGGTCACATTTTTAAGAGCATCTTTTTGCTTTATAGTAACCTTAGTCATGTTTGTTCCTGCCAAGCCACAGTTTATTCGTCTTTAAAATGGATATTAACATAGAGTGGCTATATCTCAAAAAGTGTTTTGCATCAATAGGGGAGAAGAAGTGCTTCCAGATCATCAAGTATTATTTCTTTTCACCAGTTTCAGTGTGCACAGTATAAAGCAGCGTTAGGTAGGCTTTGGGGAAAAGGCGTGGTGCAAAATAACTAGGACTTCATCCAAGTCACATTCATGAATCGCTTGGTGACCCCACATAGATCACTTTATTTTTCTATCCCTCCCCCATGTCTGATTTAGAAGGCAGGACAGATTTTATCTGCCTTATATCCATCTCCTCCAAAGATAGAGAAGATGATTTAGAATCTTGGAGACAGTGAGTACCTATGGAGAAAATGGAAGGCAAGGCCTTTTTTTTTTTTTTTTTTACTCTTTTGGTCATTCTCTCTCTCTCTCTCTGTATTATTATTATTATTATTATTATTATTATTATTATTATTATTATTTGGTCTTTGCCAAAGACAGTTTTTCTTAATATGTTTTTATTTTATCAGACTGACAAGACCTCCAGCTTGGGAAGCAAAAGTACATAAATACTAGAATGATCTGATTTTGATTTCAAACGTGGAGAAGCACGACAAACATGTTGAGGACCAAAGGTGCATTTCTACCTTAAAGTCAGAACAGCTCTGGGCAGATGGCTGCCCTGGGAAGAGCATTAAAGACGGAGGTAAGGCACCCGAGCTGAACTCCCATTCTGTCTTCCACTTGCTATTTGGCATAGGGGTGAATTAACTCATGTCTGTAGTTTTTACTTCTTGTATCTAAAATCATAATAGCATCCTCTATTGTACCGGGTTTCATGTCCACATAGGTACTCAGTATATTTGCTCTTGCAGCTTGTGTGTGTGGATGATGGTGTTGTGCTGAAAGCCATGATGTGCTGTACATTTTTACTGCCCATGGAGAGATGCTTCCTTCTCTATCTTCACTCACTCCCAGGGCGAGCTGGTGTTTCATGATCTTAAATACCTCTACATGTTGATGATACCCACCTACCTGGATATCCTGTGACTCCACCTGAATGTCTAATGAGCCTCTCAAAGGTAACATGTGCAGCCATGAAACCAATCTCCCCTCCCCGATGTGCTTTCACCTACGATTACTCCCACCACTGTGCAAGGCATCTTCTTTCAGTTGTTTAGGTTCGAAATCTTAGATTCTTCCTTGACCTCTCTCAAACCCACATTCTACCTATCAGCAGATCCTGGAGACCCTGCCTATTTTCTAATCTATTCCAGAGTCCCACCACGTCCCATGTTGTCACAAGCCAAGGCATCGTGGGTGCTCACCTGGATTCTTGCAACAGTTTCCCAATCAGTCTCTCTGCTTTTGCACTGACTTGCATAGAAACTCTTCTCAATACAGTAGCCAGTGCCTTCCTATCAAAAAATACTAGTTCAATTAGAAATGTGTGTGTTGAAAACTTTCCCAAGAGGTCCTGTTTCTACAGACACAAGCACAGTGACGGCCTCTCTGGACCTGCATAGCTGGGCCCTGGGAATCTCACTCTGGCGACCTTCACTCCAGCTCACCAGTCCTGGTGGCTCTCCTGAGCATCCCAGGCTCTCTCCTGCTTAACACTTTTATTCTCTGATTTCACCTGCTTCCAATAAGGGTCTCCAAATATCAACTTGTCTCATCCTTTGCCCTCCAATCTTTGTTTGCCACCTCCTCAGAAAAGCCTCCCCTGACCACCTCCTTTAAAACTGTACCCCAATCCCACCCTCCTGATCCCCATTCATACTTTATTTGTATCCATAGACTTTCCACCTCCCAATTCGATTACACTAACAATTAAAAGATATATTCTGTGAGGACAGTCATTTTTAACGTTTTATTCACAGGTTGATTGTCTGTAACCATGCCTGGTCCCAAGTAGGTATTTAGTAAATATTCACTGAATGATTGAATGAATGAATGAACAAGCTATTTGACTAAAAGTAAGAAGCATCAGCTCATGACTCTTCAAAACAACACTTGGTTCCATTATATACCATTTATAGGCTAGTAACTTGAAGTGCTGAAAGATTAAATAATTTGCTAATGTTTACACAATGGGTGTGTTTATGGTCAGATTAAATCAGGTCTCACAATTTTCAGATCTATCCTCTCTATTATGCTACAAAACAGGATACATTTGAAAAGGATCCTAAAATTTCTGCTTACCAAAATAGAATTTTTTTTTTTTAATTTCTGGCCTTACTTCCTCGCACAGTTCCTGTAGGCTCAGAGCCTACTGGGATGATTAGGTGAGAGAGGATTGTGTGCCCCAGTCCATGTCCTACAGAGATCTGCACGTGTGCTGAGCCTTGCCTCTGTTTCCAGACAGAACCTTCTCTGTGCCTCTCAGCAGGGACATGAGAGGGTGGACGAGCCACTGAGGAGAGCTGATGTTTCATGCAAACGTCTCTTGCTGCACGTCCCGGTCCCTGACACTTCCTCCCCGTCAGGCAGGCTTCTGTCCCTGGTCTTCTGAACAACTTCATTCCTCCCTCCACACAGCTTTCATCTTCCTGCTCTTAGCCTGATGCTGCGTCTGGCCACACAGGCCATGTTGGCTATTTTTACTGACAGCAGCCACCCGCCCATATGGTTCCCATTACCACAAACTGTTACCTTCATTGAAACCAGTGTGCAAATAAGTGGATTGCAGACAACGGGAGGTCAAGTCCCGCCGCCACTCTCGGGGCTCGTGGGATAGGTCTGGACGGGTATGTTGGTCGTGATGAACATCCGTTAAAACCAAATTGGGTTGGACAAAATGCTGATTAATTACTCATATTTTTTTTCTTATCTTTTCCTCCATGTTCAGTTCAGTAGGTTTTCAATGGAGTCAAGTTTCAAAGTAGGCTGCATTTTATAGGGAGATGAATTTGAGTTTTATTTCTTTTCTTTAGGGAGCTTGCTCTGCCGTAGGACATGATGCATGCTAACCACTTCAGGAGTGACAGATAATGACATGCAGCCTTCAGTAGAGTACACGGTACATGATGACAGAAGGTGGATTCTGAGCACCTCCTGCCTCCAGAAAGATGGTGAGACACCCAGGCCTTCAGTGCTCTTGGTAACACCTCCCTCAGCATGTAAAACACATTATAATTTATAAAAAGCTTTCAGGGCCTCCCTGGTGGTGCAAGGGGTTAAATCTCAGCACTATTAAGGTATTGGAAGCCACTGCAGCATGAGTTTGATCCCCAGCCAGGGAGCCGACCAACATGGTGTAGCAGGCTTCTCCTGTCTCGCCCACTGCTCCCCTCAGCAGTGTATTTCAGATAGTCTGCCTGTTCTGCTCCCCACTCTGTCTCTGGTGAATCCTCTCACCACCTCTCCCCACACCTCTGGCCTACACCCCAGTTTTGTATGCATAAATAAATAAAAATAAATCTTTAAATAAAATAAAATAAAAAGGTTTTAACACAACATCTTGAGTCTCACATGCAACTTTGCTGTTAAGATTGGGTTTTCATTTTTATTTATAGGTAGGGAAACTGCAGCATTAGGAGCTGACTTTCCCAAAGTGGGGTGGGTAGTAAGAGCCCTTGGGGGGACTCAATCTCAACTCCTTGGAGTTCAGGTCACAACTCATGCCCCAAAATTACAGTTGCCTAAGTGGCTGGAAACAAAACTGGGCAGGACTTGTTCACAGACATAAGCTAGCAGCTCACAGTGGGGCCTGATGGGGCATGTTGCATCGAAACTGGAAGCTGGCATGGAGACCCAGGCTCTGATGACACCATAAAGCTACTGTCACTCCAGCTGGATGACACAGAAATGAACGCAAACAAAGCAGATCTTTCCACCATATAGAATGTCATCCTTCAAGGCCCATGTTATTGTAATGCACCAAACATAAGCCTTCCAGAGCAGTGAAGGAAAGTTCTGGATGGGGAATGAGCCTGGAGGCAGGGGGCAAGTCACCTTGAGACCACCTCTGGCCTCACCGTTTGTGATTAAGACTCTTTCTCCCAAGTTCCTCCCGGGTCTTCTGGGCTTCTTTCCTGCTTGCCAGCCAGGTTCCGGATTCACCAGTGTCCTTTTGGCCCTCAGACACACACAGCTCTTGCCTACTGTTGTGGAAAACACAGCTCTTCTTCTGTCCTTTGCTAGTCCGATCTTTTCCATCTACATGTCTCCTTCATAGGAAATCCTTCTTTGGAGGTCCCTCTACCCCCTCCAAAACAAGTTCATGTGCCAACACCTGGAAGTTGTGAAAGTGTACCTATTTGGAAAAGGATCTTTACAGATGTAACCAAAGTTTGGGATCTTGAGATGAGATCATCCTGGATGTAGCGTGAGCCCTAAATCCAATGACAGGTGTTCTTATAAGAAGAGGAGGGAACTGGAGGACACCAGGGGCCAGGCAATGTGAAGGTTCAGCAGGGATTGCAGTGAGCAGCCCCTGCCAGGGGATGCTGACAGCTACCAGCAGCTGGACAAGGGAAGCAAGGATTCTTTCCTAGAGTCTTCAGAGGGAGCACAGGCCTGCTGAGCCCGGAATTTCAGGGGTCCTTCTTGAGGACAGGGACCTTGTTGGTCTTTTTTAGTTTCTGTAATTCCTAGCTCATTGCTAGGCATAGAAGAGGCATTCAAAAATCATGGAATAAATAAATCCTGGCTCCCCTGGCTTCATATCACTCCCCACACTCCTCTGCCCTTTGCCTTTTCACATCTCAGTTCTTTCACATACACACACTTTCCTCCACCCAGAATGCTGCCCTTCTCTACCTGGAGGAACTCCAGACATACTTTCAAGATGAGTATGGAGCCTTCCTTGAGAAGCGTGGCCTAATTTCCTTCAACAAACCCATTGTCCCTGCCTCTGCTACACGTATGAGTGAAGGGACACAATGTCGAAGCCCTTGCCTGACTTCCCAGAAGGCATCAAGCTCTCAGGGAGGCCAGGATCACACTTTATTCCTGTAACTCAACACCCAGCACAAGCTTTAGAACTGGATGTGCACTGCACACAAGTGTGATAAATAAGTGAGTCCACAACAAATGCTCACTAGAATCCACTTAAAACATACAGTTTATGTCTTAGAACAGACTTAGATTTATAGAAAAATGATGGCGGTGGATGGTTTCCATATATACCCCGTTTTCTTTCTTGTTAGCCTCTTACATGGTATGGCACATTTGTTACAAAGAATGCACCAATGTTCATACATTATTATTAACTGAAGTCCATACTTTGTTCATATTTCCTTAGCTTTTACCTAGTTGCCCTTAATGTCACTCTAAGACCCCAAACAGGATAGCACATCATGGCTAGTTATCGGGTCCACTTCATTTCCTCTGGGCAATGACAACTTCAGAATTACTTTCTTTTTCTTTTTTTGGATGATCTTGATAGTTTTGAGGAACCCCAATCAGTTATTTCTCATAATGTCCCCCTATTGGAATTTAATGTTTTTCTCATGATTAGATTGGGGTTATTAATTTTTTAGAGGAAGATCGCACAGATGTGAAGTGTCATGTCACATCATCACATGCTATCAAGGGTACATACTATTCACATGATTTATTACTGTTGATATTGACCTTGATCACCTCACAGAGGGAGTGTTTGTCAAATTTCCTCACCATAAGCTTATTCTTTTATCCCCCTTCCCATACCACACTCTGGAAGGAAATCACTATCAGCAGCTACAATTCATTGTTAAGCTATAATTATGTTTTGTTTTAATAAGTGTGCTCTAAATAACACCACCATTGATTTGTTGTCACAACACTCTGGATGAGAAACAGGGTCAGAGAGGTGACACTATATTCCCAAGGTTGTACAATGGGGAAGGATAGGAATAAATTCAGTTGGATCTGATGTTGACATCTGACCTCCTCAGCATGCCCTTTGTAGAATGGCTTCCCTACAACACTCCTCAGCTAAATTCTTGACATGGCTTTCCAAGTGTGCTGGGACTTGCTCTATTGAGATTGAATGGAAACATAGGTTGGAGGAGAATAACTTCAAATCTACACTGTCTTTGGAAGCAGCGTCCCAGGCAGATCTAATCCACGTTCCAACATAATCCTCTTATGCCCCCTCAACACCCTGAGCATGAGTGATCAACTCGTGTTGGCTCAGTCTGCCACACTTCAGGGAGTCAGATTCCAGCTTTGGTGTGGTGATCTAACTCTGGTATAAGATACATCCACGCTCAAGGAAGTACAGGCAGAAAGTGCTTTAGGATTATTTTCAAAGGGATAGAAATGACATACAGTGTAACATCCCAGAACATCAGAGTTTTAAGGGATTTGATGACTGATTGAGTAGTAGTGATTTAACAGAGGATGCACAGGGAGATACTGGCACACCTGGAACTAGAAACAACACCTTCAGCTTGGCTCAGGACTCTATATTTATGATGATTGGGCTCCAAGAAGAAGCAAACTCACAACTGATCAGTGTTCGTACTCAGTAGGCCCCTTTGATGAAGTCAAGGTCTGAAAAGGGGGTCTTCCCATCACTGGGGAACACTGTCCTCATGCCATCCTGATAACTTTTGGGGTTCTTTTTAGGACACATAAGAGATCCCTTTGAGCCTCATTCATCCTCTGTGAATAAGTTTGGCAGCAGTAATAGGTGACAGAACCCCAGAAGAGCACAGTAGGTTCTCAGATTGTGTCGCTTTGTAATAATGTTGATGACAAAGAAACAACCCCCGCCAAAGCAGAATGAAATGACATTATTCAAGAACCTGCTTTCCATATACATTGTTTTGCTTAATGTCACAATTTCCAAGAATCTATTGATGATAACTGAGGATTTACTCTACATGAAAAGATAGGAAGCGCTAAAGAAAGTTGGAGATCTCTATCATAAACACTTTGAGGCCTAACCTCAAATTAATCTCAGGGTTCCTGCCCTCAGGCTCCCTTGGTGCAGAGCAGCTGGGGGCATCTTGGAATCCATGTCAGGGTGATTCAGAGAAGCAGAACATTCAATGCATGATCATATATGATTTATATTATGACCATGCAGGGAAGAATGTGGGGGGATTAGTTACGGGAATTAAGGGGCTTTGAAAAACATGGGTGTCACATCCATCACTCAGCAGTTCCCCTGCCACGTAGGCCACCTGTTGGGGGTTCTAATATGCACCTGATGCCTACTTATGACTGTCTTTTTGTAAAGGCCCAGGGGAAGGTCAGAGAAGTCATCTAGAAGCCCCGTGTAAAGGGGAAGCCCCATCGCAAGCCCAGGAAAAGTGTTCTGATCACTCCTCCTCACCTGCAGCTGCCTGCAGGGTCTGGTCTAGCTCAACTACTCTGTACTTCCATGCTTTTGCACAAGACTGGGCCTGGGACAGGACAGGAGAGGTGCCAGGGCATGCAATATAAGGAGGTGTTCACGCTCAATGTCTTAAAGTATCGAGTCTGGAAAGCCCTGCAGTGTTTTCTCTTCTCCATAAGTCCCCTCTCAACCTTCAAGCCCCATTTCAAATGCCTTCTCCACAGGAAAGTCTTTCTCAACACCCCTAGCCAGATTTGGGTCCCTTTCCTCCTCTGTCACTTAGAGCTTATCCACTCTGTCATCCCCCTTCTCACACTGGGAGCTCTGGCTGTTCCCTGTCTCTGGCTGGTCAGTTCTCAAGGACCAGGGACCATGAGTCATTCACCTCTACATCCTCAGTGCTGTCCTAGCTAAAGAAGAGGTTCTTTCAGCAAATGGGAATCAAATCATTGAATTGAAATTCAGTGGTGGCAGCGAGGTCGTCCATCCATCTGCCTTGATGTGCAATCACAGACCTCACCCTTCAACACGTTACAAAAACTCTGACATGTTATACTTTGGGGTTAAGCCAGGACATATGATGTCAGCACAGAAGGGAGGGGAGGAGATGCTCTCAATCTCATAACTCTAAGCCTGAATTCTCTTCTAAGTCCAGTTTGACTTCTGCCCCGCTGGCATCCCTTCCCCCCACAACCCCAGCCCCTCCACGCACCTCCAGGCCGCTCCCCACCACAGCAGGGTCTCGTCACATGTTGGCCTCTACTAGACTCAGCCTCACCCTCTTACCTCCAGTAGACTTGGATGCCGATGATCTTGGCGACAGCCTTGGGACTACACTTGTTCCTCTCCCAGCACTAATTAGGCACTGAATAAACAGTAAG